CATACATCCATTTTCCTGTCGATCTCTAAAAAAGTATTTCATAAAAGCAGTGCTCTTGAAGACAAGGGAAGGGTAAGAGGGAAACATTTCACTATTTACATATTTAATATCATGCCAAGTTTATGTATTTTGTTTATATAAACACAATAGCTGAAATACTCAATGTAACATTATAGTTACACAAATATACTTATCATTAAATACTCCTTTCCAATGTTTTGAGGAAGTTTTAATAAATTGCATGGTAAATGTATACCTCCAAAATCTATAAATAGAAATTTTGAATAAACTTTGAACTCTAGGAGTAATGAATAAATTGCTGATTGAATAAACTGCTTACATAATTTAATTAGAATATAAGTATTCAAATAAATTGAATTGTTTATTGTACATATAACCTCTAGCTCCACTTTCTTCTGTCTGTCTTCTCAAAAAACTAATTCCAAGGGCTGGGGATTTAGCTCAGTGGCACAGCACCTTCCTGACAAGTGTGAGGTTGTGAGTTCGATTCCTGGTACAGGAAAAAACAAAAAACAAAAAACAAACAAACAAAAAAACTAATTCTGTAGTGAAGTGTAGTGGATCCGTAACTGGTGGTCAGCTTATAACCCCCAGCTGAATTGAGGAAGTGTGGTGCTGGGTGTGGGAGGCCCACTTGGGGACTATTGCCAGCAGCATAAGAAGCAGAACTGGAGAAGGAGAAGGAGGCTGTTGGGAGCAGAGAAAGGCTTTTGGGAGCTAGTAGAAGCTGTAAGGAGCTGCTGGTTGTTCTGGAGGAACTCGTCATGTTGGCTTGCCTGATGAACTTGGCTGTTTTCATCCTCGAGGAGCTCTAGACTTCCTTGGCACTGAGAATTTGGTTCACTTTGGGGGAGCTATGTTCCTCTCTTTGAGCATCACTTCCTTGCTCCAGAGGGGAAAATGGTGCACTGCTGGTCTTCTGGATAAGCTTGCTGTGTTGGATTCCCTAACGGGAATCCAACTTGATCGTCAGAGGAGTTCAGGACCGCACTGTTGCTGAGGATGGCTGTGGTACCTTTAGCAGGAGCTTTGGTTCTTATAAGCATCACTTCCCCGCTCCAGTGCAGATCCCTCAGCCTGCTACCACAGGTCCTTCATCCCACTGGCACAGACTTCCTAGATTACACCATTGACCTTTGGGCCTTCCTGGCGCAGATCCGTGAAACAGGCCTGCATGAGGTATTGTTATGGGCTCTAGGCCTCCCTGTGGACTCGTGGGAGGCACTGTTCTGAGCTCTAGGACTTTAGCTGGACTCATGCAGGACATTTCCGAGGGATCCAGGCCCTCAGCTGGATTCCTTGGTCTTAGTGTGTGGACAGATTTCCTGCACTCTTTTGTATATCGTTCTTTGGGTGAGTATTATAAATAATCATATAAAATATGTGTGCTGTATTATATTAGTCTCACTTGCAAAATAAGCCCCATACCAACTCATGAAGGGACAAAATGAAAACTAGTTGGGTCATGTGTCACACTCATGTGTCACACTTCTGCAATCCCAGCAATCTGCAGGTTGAGATAAGATGGTCATAAATTCAAGCCCTGCCTGGGCAGCTTAGTGGCTTAGTGATACCCTCTCTCAAACCAAGACTAAATAACTAAATAAATAGATAAATAATGCTATATTGTTACTCCGTATGAAGTCCTTGGGTGCTATACCTAGTACTTTAAGGGGAGGGACAGAAAGAATGAGAGAGAGGGAGGCAGACAGAGACAGACAGAGAGACAGAGACAGAGACAGAGACAAATTACCCTCTTTCTTTAATAGATTGGGTGTCACTATATAATCCAGAACACAGCATTTTTTTTAATGGATAATGTGATAGTTAATTGTGGCGTTAACTTGAATAAGAAACACCTCGTAGATTAGTTTAGCGCTGTTCTGGGTGCACATGGATGCTTGACTTACTGAAGAAGAAGACCCACCCTGGGTGTGAGTAGCACCAACCAGTGAGACTGTAGCCTGGATGGAATACAAAAGGGAAAGAAGAATATCTCACTTGTAGTTTTTCAGAAGAGCTCTAAGCTTCACTTTGCCTTTGGACATCTATCTCCTCTATTCCAGTGGAGACTCTTCATTCTTCCAATGCATACCCTCCATCTTTCAGACATGGACTAGCGTGGAATCTGCAGTGAGCTCCAGGCTTTCAACTATTGACTGGATCCTCTGGCTCTCCAGAATGCACATGGCCCTTTTCCATTTTTCTACCCTGACTCTGTAGGGGACCACCATAAGCCTACCTTGTAGATCATTTAAGTATGATATATATTTTATATTAAATCTGTTTCTCTAATGTAACTGACATAGATAGTAATAGAGCAATCTGATGTTTAATTAATGATCTTTTTTACTCATCTATAAATAGTTATATGTTATCAATAGTGAAAAAATCGTTATGCAGGCACTACTAAATTTACGCCTTCTTACGTGTCTCATAGTAATAAAAATAAAAAACAGTTTTAAAGAGCTTAATCTTCTTCATTCTATTTTAATTTATAGAATAATTTTCCAGTTACTGACAAAATAGCCCTTGTCATTCTAAATAAAATATGATATCTGAATGAGTATTTCATATGTAGCTACTGATTGTTTTTAACATATAGAATTTGTTTCCTTCCTATGCAAAGGGAAGCAAGGATTTCCAAATGAATGAGCTGTATTCTCTTTCATTATCCACTTAGATTCCCTTCCAGAAACATACAGGAAGCTCACAGTGACAGCATCAGTGAAACAAAAGACATCAATTACAGAAATTGGAAACCTCTCTCTTTCTCCAATGTGTCACTGCTAAGTTTAGTACTTACTCAGGCTTTCTTCTGTATGTCTTGGGATCTTTATTGTGTTATTTCTCATTTATAGTCTTTCATAACTATAAATATAGAAATAATAATCCCCATATAACCTTTGATCAAGCAACTCCAGGTATAGGAATCTACCTTATCACAATACACAGAGAATGGTGATTCCTACTTTTTAGCAGTATCAAAATCTGGAAAGAACCTCTACACCAAAGGTCAGAGGGAAAACATTGGTATATTTCCATGAGGCAATAATATGAAACTGTAGAAATGAATGAAATTTCTAAGTGATTAAATATGTGTTTAGCAACTTCATTTTTATAAAAGCAAATTTCAACCCTAAAACTATTAGATGAAATGTATGTAAGTGAATGTACAGGTTACATTGTCAAGGGGGACACTGAAAGGACACATGTCAATCTGTTTTCCCCTACCGTTTGAGGATGTGAAAGCTGACAAATAAATTAGGTTGTCTCCAGTCACAAATACTGAAGTGCAAACTCCAAGTGATTTTGAAGAATAGATTAATAGAGAAATAGACTAGAATAGAAATGTATTCCAGTAATCCAGCCTTAAGGGAATACATTCATAGTCACTCTCTCTGGTGCTGTTCCTTATGATTTCCTTGGTTATTTCCACTTTGGTGGCTTTGAGGATCACCAGCTTTGCCTGCTTTGTGCTTTCTTCACTCAACAGCAAAACAGCTGTTGCAATTCTTTGTTTCAGATCTAGTTCATAGAGTGTCTAATTTATCAATTGAACTTGGAAATTTTGAAGAGTGAAAGGTAGTACTATTAATATTCTAAAAAAGGGTGTAAACAAGAACCATCCTAGGCAAACCAGCTGCCTGTCTGTCACAGTATCCCAAGAAACAGAGATGGCTTCCTCTGGTTGATTTTACCTTAAAAGCCCAGATGATTTCTCAGAAGTTCTGAGTGAAGTTTGCTTCTAGATTCATGAGTCAAAATTTGAGTAAAGGGGCCAAACCATATGGCTAGAAAAATGCCAAGTGTGCTTTTGAACCCCTCCTTCATTGGATGGAGGTGCAAATTATTTTGGACCAGCAGTTTTTAAAATGAGAGAACCTATAGAGGTCAGTGATATCCATTTTATAATAAATTGCTATTTTCATTAAAGTAAGATGAGTTTATTATTCCTATCCTTAAATAATATATATTTTAAAATGTCTATTTGATGTAATAATAATAAAAATATGAAATATAAAATTTTTAGAATTTTCAATCAATCTAGAAGATAAAAGAAATACTGAGACCAAAAGGTTTAGAACCTTTGAAAGCTTCCAAATATTGGAAAAGGCAGGAAAACAGATTCTCCCTGTCCACTTCCTGATGGAAGTAAGACCTAGGATATCTTAATTTTAGCCCAGTTAGACACATCTTAACATATACAAAATAGCAAGGTAGTGAATTTGTGTTTATTTAATAATAAATATGTAGTAATTTATCGCAATAATACTAAATAATATATCTCAAAATTAACAAATATAAAAATCATACATTTATCTTTCTTCTCAATTCTGCTCTTTCTGAAGTCTTTCCCACTTTAAGGAAATGGTACTTACATTCCTCCAGCTGCTGAAACTACACAATTTTGAGTCAACGTTGACTCTTCTTCTTACTCTGAATCTGCAATGATTCTAGTAATTCATGTAGAATGGATGTACTTCTCACCATTTCTACCAGAATCAAGTTAGTTATGAGGACCGTTTTCCCAACCATCACAATACTAATTTTGGCCTCACTGTTTTCTCAAAGTTACAATAGTAACTCTGGACTCTGTTTCCAACCTGGCTGTACTGCATCATAAGTTCTTCTTCATGGGTTTGGAAAAATTTTATGACTTTTATTCCTATTGAAATAAAATACCTCTTGTCATGTCCTACAGCATCCTATATGACTTTCCATTTACAGTCTTCATCGCCTCTCTCTGGGGATAGCTCTACTTATTGCCTGTAGTTTTCTGTAGCAGATGTTCTACATTCTTAATATCTCCACTTTTCTGATCTCTCCATTTCATGAACTACCATCTCATGGACACTCTGCCCGTCTTACCAGACCTTCTGAAATCTGGATGGAAGCCTCAATGACCTCACAGTTCTTGCATTCTACATGCAAATGAAGCCAGCAACAATGGGATGACACCAAAGTCTGTTGCCAGCTCAAGCAGTACCATGGCTGCCGATGGCCCTGAAGAGCTAGATGGCTGAGCACTGTGAAAAGAGTTCTGGAGAAACAATCCCTGGGGAGCACTCCTCAAGCAGGGAATCTTTTCTCAAACAAATGTTTTATACTTTTGTACCCTTGACTTTGCAAAGGGTGGGTATTGCTGATGCTTCCAAACCATCTTTTCTACTTTCCTGATGCAAAGTATTTGGCTTCTTTTCAATATTATTATTATTTTTTCAATCAAGTTCTCCATTGCCCCAATTTTGCCCAAATTTTGCAGGCACTTCCTTTCTGGCAAAACCTCAAATTTTCTATGTACCCTGGCTGTGGATTTTTACTGTAGGACTGGCTACAAATAGCCAGCAATACCAGCATTACAGACTAAACGTTGGGGAGCTTTGAAATTGTCTCTACCAGATTAGTTAGTCTAAGGTCCTTAATCTCTAATTCCTAAAATGTCTCTGGCAAGGGAAAAATGTAAACACATTTTCTGTCAGAGAGTAACATACATGATCTCTAGTTTAACTACCAATAGAATACTTTTTTCCCAACTGAGATCTGCTAAGCCTGGCCTTTGCTGTCCATATTGGTATCAATATCTGGTCTACTGAGCTCTGAATAGTATTACACATCAAGCACAGCTCACAATATTTTAAAGACTTTTCTATCACATTTCTCTAAACTTTTCCAAACTCCTCCCACAAACAAATTGTAAAGGCTCTGAACCACAAAATCAAGTAAAGTCACAGCAACAACCTAACTTTTCTGATACCAAAATCTGTCTTAGTTATTTTCCTATCAAAAGGACAAAGTACTTGACACTCACAACTAGAAAGAGAAGATGTTTCTTTTCAGTCCATTATTGCATGGCTCCAATGTAGAAACAGGATGACTGAGGGGTATGGCACAGGAAAACATACTCAACCAACTTAACTAAGAAGAATGGAGAGAAGTGAGGAGCTGGGAACGAGTATAGATCCTTCTAGATCATATCCTCACTGAATGACCTATACTAAGCCAGACCTTCTAATAGCACATTCTGTTACTGAATTTATCAATGAGTGAATCCACCAAAGAGCACAGCACCTCATGATCAGATCACTTTCCAAACATGAGATTTGGTGGGAAGGTACATCTTACTTCTAAGCCATAGCAATACGTTTAATTTATATACAGATCAGCTATTGGCCTAAGATAATAAAAGTACTGCTTCACATCACTAGTATTCACTATACCATTATATTTAATGACATTATTTACTTTTTTCAAGAGAGTCTCACTACATAAGTTACACTGGCTTTGAACTCTATATAGACCAGGCTGGCTTCAAATTCATGGCAATTTTCTTGCCTGAGCCTCCTGAGTGCTAGGATTACAGGTGTGTGCCACCGTGCCCAGCAATATTACATACTTATCGTAGTAAATGTTAATTTATTCAACTGATTCCTATTGTTAGGTATTTGAATTTCCATGTGTTTCCTATTGTTCCAACCAATTCCTACCGTTAGGTATTTGAATTTCCATCTGTTTTCCTAAAAAACTTATTTTGAAATTATTTCATAAACTCAGTAGATTCTTCTTCATATAAGTTCTTAAGATATCAATAGTTGGGACAAAGGACATTAATATTTTCTAAGGCTTTCAATTTAAAAGAGAATCATTTTAGTTTTTAAAAGCAGTGTCACAATGAAGTGAAGTAAATCTTAGTCTAGGAAGTTGCACATCATTTGCCATAAGCAAATTTTCATATAAAAACTGAACAGGGTCTTGGTATCTATTTGGATGGGGAAGCCCATTCATGTGCTCCACACTGATGGAAAAACCCACACATGAATGGTGCTTCCCCCACCTGTCTCCATGTCTGCAGATTTCACAGACCTGGCCACAGCCATCCATGATCTTCAAGCCCATTTTGAGCTTTGTTCTTCCTCAACCTTGGACAACAGAGGTGCAGAACAATAGACCAACCTGATTATAGATAAGATCAGTGCCTGAGGAGAGAAGGTAAGCCCTGTAGAGTTCACATATTCATGGAGAAACAACACACCTTGCCCACAGATCTAGCTCTAAGAAAAGACCGATGCTATAGTAAACAACAAACAGAGTGTGGGGCTTTACTCTAAAAGTGACTTCTTCACAGCAAGCTGGAGTAGAAGAAACCCAGGGCAGAATCTGCCATACTGCCAGAGTGTTTAATCCAGTTTAGGGAGGGATTGTTTAACATGAACCTGTAGAATAAATTTACTTCAGGGTTTCCACTGTTACCTTCCATATTGATTGGGTGAGATATAGTCACGGAAGCAAGCCTTGGAGAGGGTACAGGTTAGACCTAAAACCCCTAGAAGATTAAGCACAGACTGGGAAGGACATGGGCTCTGTCCCCCATAATGTGAAATCAGGCACCATGAATATAGCTTTCAGAGAAAGTTGGATCTGAAAGTGTTAGCATTAAATTCTGTTACTGTTATCTAATACTATTAATTTTCTTTTAATTCTCAGTAGTAGATCCTATCTCATTGTCTCTTTTCCTTTTTTATCTTCCATTGATTAATATTTCAAATTTTACTTTTCTTATTCTGTGTGTCCCCTCCCTTACTAGTATAATCATTAAGCTTTATGAACATTTACATAGTTATTTCTATGCTTTTAGTGTTGAATGTTTTTCTATTGATTGTGGAAGTAAAAGTGTTCCAGTTAGTAAATGTTTACTATAGGTCAATATTTGGTTTGTATAGGGGTGGTACATTATGGTTCATAGAATATGCAAATGTCTAGTTTGTCTTTGATGCTATTGTGTTACTGATGTTATTACTATACTCAAGGTGACATACTTGTTTCTGTTGACTTGTTTTCTCTGTATATAATACATATATTGGCTTTGTATCATTAACAGTGCTGTGGCCCATTCATAGAGAATTAGCTACTGCACCAAATGTACTTCAGCTTCTCAGCCAAATAAACAGAGTGGGTTGGATTCTGGGATGGAGGCAAATGTTTATAGTTAATCATGTCTATGGGCATCACTGAAAAACAGGCATTAAATAAATAGGACTCCATTCCACCAATAAAAGTTTTCCATTATGATCAAATTACAAGCTTCAGCACAAACTAAATGGAAATGATAGAAGACAAGGCAACAAAATTCCTCCAAAAACTTCCATATTTCCTAAGCTGTGAGGTGGCAGTGAGGAAGAGGAAATCAAAAGACACTCAGCTAAATTATTTAAAAGATAACAGAAGATGTCAAAAGGATCAGATCAATAAGGTGCTTGGTGAGAACAAAGAAGATGTAATTAAACTAAAAATGGTCCTAAAGAAGCAAAACAGGGAGACTACAGAAAAAAGTTAGCTAAGTAAAACAAAATGATTCAAAACTTTAAGTCCCTGCATAGAAAAGAATTAGAGTCTGTAAAAAAGTACTGAGCAGAAATTCAGGAGGTTAAAAATTATATCAAAATCATGGCCAGCAGATGTGACCAGCACAAGAAGTGTATCAGAACTAAAAGACAGGATGGGTATCGGTGACCAGCTAATTGCAAATGACATAAAAATAAGAGAATATGATAAAATGAATCAAACAGAGGCTAGATGACATAAAGAAGACTAATCTAAGATGAATTGGAATTAAAGAAAAATCAAAGACAGCACAAATGGCATGAAAACTTATTTACTGTAAAAAGAGAAAAATTTCTAAATATGGGAATAGAATTTAATATACAGACAAGTGAGGTATATAGAACTTCAAACAGCCATGATCAAAAAGGAACCTTGCCATAATGCATAGTAGTCTATATCTAAGAAGTGCAACACAGGAAGAAGCTCTTAAAAACTATTAGAGAAAAACAACAAATCACCTATAAAGCTGAAGCCTTTACAATTACAGGAGACTTCTCAACACAAACTTTAAACTATAGGAGAGGTTAGAGTGAGGGTTTTAAGCTCTCAGAGAAAATATTTCCTTTCTCAGGCTCATATATCCTGTAAAAGTATCTTGCAAATTTGATGGAGAAATAAGTTAGTTACATGTTAAAGACAAACTTAGAAAATTAATGACCACTAAAGCAGCAGTCCAAAAAAATTCTCAAGGACATTCTGGAAACAGACAATGAAACTAACAGTGGCAAAATGTCCAACTTAGTGAACGTAGGGTGAGCAGTTAAGTAGAAAAGGAAAAAAGAAGGGAACTGGTAACATCCAGTGTAAGGAATAAGTCAGTATCTTTCAGTAATAACTCTAAATGTGAATGGGATCAATTCTCCAAACAAAAGACAGATTGACAGAATGGATCAAAAAACAAAATCCAGTGGTATGATATACACAAGAAACACAATTTACCCAGAAATAAATTCATGGACTAAAAATAAAATGATATAAAATGGTATTCAATGCATTAAGAACCTAGAAAAAAACATGGATTAACTATACTATTTTCAGACAAAGTGGATTTTAAGCCAGAACTGATCAGAAGAGGCAAAGAAGATCAGTACATATTGAGTAAGAGAACCATTCAACAAGAGATTGCAACTGTTATCAGATATTGACTAAACAACAATGCACCCAACTCCATGAAACAAGTACAACTGGGCATAAAAGATCAGATAAACAGAAGTATAGTAGGGAAACTCAGTATCTCACTTTAATAAATGGACAGACCAAGTAGACAAAAATCCAACAAAGAGATATCAGAGCTGAACAAAATTTTCAACCAAATGGGCTTAATAGACATCTAAAGAACGTTCCACCCGACAATAGAATACACAGTCTTCTTGGCAGCAAGTGGAACTTTCCCTAAAAGACACCACATGCTAGCCAGAAAAGAATGTGTAAGTAAGTGCAAAAGAATCACAATTGTTCTGTGCATGTTATCAGATCATAGTGTGATGAAAGTAAAAATCATTGGTAAAAAAAAAACACCAAAATTACACAAAAGCACAGAAATTGAACAATACACTCTTTGATAATCAATAAGTCACAGAAGAAATGAAGGAAGAAATTAAGCTGTTCCTACAAGTAAATGATAAAGCTTGTACAAAATACCAGAACTTACAGAACACAATGAAAGAAGTCCCAGTAAGGAAGTTTACAGCTGTGAATACCTACATTAGAAAACCAAAGGGAGCACAAATAAATAAGCAAATTGTGCACTTACTTTAAGGTTCTACAAAACCAATAACAATCCAAATCCAAAGCTAGTACGAGGAAGGAAATTGTAAAGACAAAGCAGAATCAATAGAATAGAGGTGAAGAAAACAATATATAGAATTAATGAATACAAGAGCTGATTTTTCAAAGTAACAAACAAAATAGAAACAGCTTTAGCTAATCTCACCAAAACAGGAAAAGACCCAAATTAGTACAATTAAAAATAAAGAAAGGAAAATCACAAAAGACACTGCTGAAGTCCAGAAGGTTAATAGTAACTATTTTGGAAACTAGCACACCAATAAGTTGGAGAATTAGAAGAAATATACTTAGATTTCTGGACACATATGAAGTATCAAAACTAAACCAAGAAGATTTAAAAGCTCTGAATAATTCAATGGCATGCAGTAAAACTGAAGAAATACTAAAAAAGAAAAACCTACCAACTATGAAAATGCAGGTCCTGATGGATTCACTGCTGAATTCTCCAAGAACTTCAGCGAAGATGTAATGCCAAATAGTCTTCTAACTCTTCAATGAAATCCAAATAAAAGGAGTAATCACAAAGTTATTCCTAGAAATCAGCCTTTCCCTGATTCCAAAACCAAGTAAGGATCCAACTGAAAAGGCCAACTATGAGCCAATTTCTGCAATGACCATAGAGGCAAAATTTCTCAATAAGACATTTGCAAGAAAAGTACAGCAAATCATCAAAAAGATCACACTTCATGATCAAGTGTGCTTCACTCCAGGGATGCAGGTATGGCTTAGCATATACAAATGTAGTGGGATACAAAATCAACACATAAAAATTAGTAGTGTTCCTGTACATCAATAGGGAAATCACTGAAAAAAATTAGGAAAACAATACCATTCTCGTAGCATTGAGAAAAATTAGATATGTAGGAGTTAACCTAAACAAGGAAGTGAAAGACCTCTATAATAAAAGCTACAGTACTCTTAAAGAGGAGATCAAAGCAGAAACCAGGAAATGGAAAGATGCCCTTTTTTCCTGAATATGTAATGCCAATGTATTCAGATATACAGATTCAATGCAATCCTAATCAAAATACCAACAGTATTCAAACAGAAGTAGAGAAAACAATTCTAAAATTCACATGATACCAGAAGAGACTTAGAAAAGTATTCCTCCATAACAAAAGCAAAACAGAAGTCATCATAAGCCCAGACTTGAAGCTATATTAAAAGCCATAGTAATAAAAACAGCATAGAACTGGCACAAAAGATATGCGGATTAATTGAACAGAATAGAGGATGCAGAAATGACCCTACATACATTCAGCTATCTGATCTTTGACAAATGGGCCAAGAACATATACTGGAAGAAAGAGAGCCTCTTTGGCAAATGATGCCGGGAAAATTGGCTATCTGTATACAGAACATTGAATCTAGATGTGTACCTCTCATCATGTACTAATTTTAAAAACGAATCAAATTTCTAAATACTAAAGCAGAATCATTCTTCTCTGAGATAAAATAGGTAAAATTCTTGAAGACAGTTTTAGGCAAAGACTTTCTGATCAGTCCTTCAATGCCACAAGAAATAGTACCAAGAATCAACAAATAGGATCATATATAAATAACTTCTGTTCAGCAAAGGGACAGCTGACAGAATAAAGAGACAACATACAGTGTGGGAAAAAGTTGACAGCTATTCCCTCAGACGGTGGAATGATATCTAAAATGTGTAAAAACAAAAAAATTAGACCCCTCAAAATAAAAGACCTAATAAATAATAAACAAGTGAAATAAATAGATATTTCTCAGAGGAAGCACAAATGACTAATATGTGAAAATATGCTCAACACCTCTGATCATTAGACATGGAAATTAAGACAATGTAGAGAATCCATCTTACTCCAAAAAGAGTGGTAATCATCAAAAAGTCAAATAATGACAAATGCTGGTGGAGCTGAGGGGGAAAAGTACCACTTCCACACATTTGGTGGGAATGTAAACTGGTGCAACCACTACGGAAATCAGTGTGGAGATTCCTTAAACAATTAAAATTAGAAATTCATTTTTCCCACGTATTTACCTTCTGGATAACTTTCTAAATTAAAATAGCATGTGACAGTGATACATGTGCATCCATATTATAGCAGCAAAATTCATAAGAGCTAAATCTTGGAAGCATCCTATATGTTCATGAATACATGAATAGATAAAGAAAATGTGGTATGTATGCACCATGGGGTAATACTCTGTCATAAGGATGGACAAACCTGAGTCATTTGTAGAAAAATGGATGCACCTTCAGACCATAATGTTAACTGAATTGAATCAGATACACAAATATCACGTTTTTTCTTATATGAGAAACTCGAGATATAAATAAAGAACAAAATTAAAAATAGATAATGGGAAGTAGGGATGTAGATTTTTTTCAAATGGCAAAGAGTGAAGATATGGAAGGAAGAAAGAGGGAGTGGCAAGTAAGGGGATGAAAAATACAGCTGAGATGTGTTATGTTCATGTACCAACTCCCCACAAGGAATCTGTGTAATGTAAACAAGAACCAATAAAAAATAAATATTAAACACAAAACTAAATAGTGACATAGATCCCCTCAGTCTTAGGCTGTGAAAATTGTTCATATATCAGTACTAATGAGCACTACCATTTATTTCAACAGAAAGCTTCGGGAGCCATTTTATTCTGTTGTCCACACATGTGAAGTTATTATCAAATTGACACTGAAAAATATTTCCACATTCTCTGCTTCCACTATGTGTGATAAAAATAAAATATAGGAGAAAGAAACATTAATAAAATAATAGGTATTTGATAATTTCATAGTGTTTATTAGGTAAGGTGCTTAACACTTACGTTTGCTGTTTAAATCCTCAAAAAAGTCTATGAGTTAGGTAGTAATATTCCATTCACAAATGTAAAAGCCAATGTTTAGATAGCAGCACCGTAGTCTACTTAGTAAGTGATAGGTCTATAATTCAAAATCATTTCAAGCTGGCAAGTAATCTGATTTCCTACAGTAAAAATCTGTGTTGTCTTGACCTTTTCCTCCAGATACCGGTAGCGATAGCTATATTAGCATTCCTTCACTCAGGTGATTACTTAATGCCTCTTCTATGCTAGATGCTCTCCTAGTTACTGGTAAAACTGTAAAGCAAACATAGCTACTGATGTCATGGAGCTTGCACCCTTTTAGTAAAGGCAATTATTTAACTGGAAATTGCACCAGACTTCATTGCTTGTTATGTTGGTGCAATTATAGAGTGTAACATAACTGTGTTTTCTATGTAAACTTTATATTTACTCATCTCTTTTGGCATTACAACTGAAAAGTAAACACCTGATCATGGGCCAATTGTCTTTTTGGACTTTAAATTCCTTAATAGCAGTCACCTTGTTTATTTTTGTAACCAGAGCACCTACCATAGTTCAGGCACATAGTGAATTTTCTAATAAATATTGTTGAATAACTGACTGATTATAACTAGTCCCTAAGTAAGCAATTTTTGAGTCCTTATTTTGTTGCTCTCAATGATTTGTTATTTCTAAAGTGAAACTCTTAATTATGTGGTTAAAGTAATCAGCCTAATTTATTGGAATTAAAAATAAGGCAATTCATTCTTTCTCTCATTAACAAATATTTTGCCCTCTTGCCATATATAAAAATGCTGCTTATGTAGAACAGGAAGGGCAGAAATAAATTGGGTTTTTGTCTCACATTTATGATTTAGAGTCTAGTAGAAAATGTAAGACACACTTTTAACAAATAGCTGACCACTCAGGAACTTGCTCGGTGTGTATGTATGTCAGTGAGTGTGGGAGTGTGTTTGTGTATGTACCGTCTTCATAATGAGTGACTCAGCTGGAAAGAATAAGAAAATGACTCATTTATGGTGTTCCTTTCAGTCCTTCCTAATGACTACCAAATTTTCAGATGAGTGACCAACACATGGAGAGAGGAGCCCTTGTGTTGAGTAAATTTCTCACTACATGGAAAACATAAAGTTTACAAGATCTGGGTGGGTAGGTGTTTGAGCCCACTGGACTTCATAGACTGTGATGTGGAAAGGCTTGAGAGGATGATGGCCTTGTGGGTAGAGACAGTGTTAGATCTGAACAAGAGAAAGACATAACCAAGCTGTCATGGAAGAATGAAAGCCCACTCAGGACTACTCTCCTAAAATTACCAGGCGGATGTAGGCAGCAACCTGGAATACAACAGCAGCAGTGCGCACAGAAAAGAAGATTCTTACTGACATTGCATACCAGCGAGTGATGAGAGGGTCAAACCAAGGGATACCGGTGTTCTCCCCGGGCAGGACTCAGAACACTGAAGATGTAGAATCTTTGACTTACTTATCCAAGTGCAAATAAAGGTCAACATATCCTGAGCTATAAAATTCTAAGCTTGTAAGTATCCTTCTATATTTTCATATGAACAAATTATGAAAAGAACAAGAACAAAATTAATTTTGTTCATCTTGTTATGCTGGAGGTCCGCTCGTTTCTGTTCTTTCTTTGTACTGGTTTAACTCTCTTAATAAGGGAAGAATAAGCACCTAATTTCTGCACTCATTTTCCTGGATTATCTAGGTTAGCACACATTAAGAATATGTTTCTAGGTTTTTCTGCTAATCTTGACCTCTTTTATGCATCTAGAATAACATTATAACTGAGTTTGATAAATAGAGGTCTCTTTCACATCCTGAATGGTATGAAGCAATATGTAATTTTTTTGTAGTTAAAACATAAAGGAGAAAATACATTAGAAAAACTTTAGAAAAGATCAAATGAATTAATAAGGAAAATTTGGACAAGGGAGAAGATTACATTAGAAACCTTAAAGGATTTATGTAGAGATTTGCAATGGAGTTTTAAGGGTAAAGGAAGTGCAAAGGTAACTAGATGTAGACAGAAACTTCTAAGTCCAGGGCAAAAAGACAGAACACTCAAAGGTGTTATGATTTAGGTCTAAAATGTCCCTGCAAAGTCTCATGTCTTTGGGACATAGCTGGATCAAGGGGTGTTACACTTAATAGTGGATTGATCCATTGATGGGTTCAGTAGCTAAATATGTTGTTAAGAGGCAGAGCCTGGATAGAGGTAGGTTACTGGGAGTGTGACTTGGAGGGATATATTCTTGTCTGCGGCTCCTTCTTTCCCTGCTTCCTGTCTGCCATGGGATAAGGCACAGTCCTGCACCGACTTTCCTCCATGCTTTTCCTGCCTTTGATCCAGACAAATATAGACTCCACCCACTGGAAACTGTGACCCAAATAAACTTGTCCTCTTTAAATTGTGGGTGTTGGGTATTTTGTCCGAAGGATGGGGAAGTGACCAATAGGGAGGAGCTTCCATGTTCCAAACCTGAGTTCTAGACTTTTTCAAAGAATGTTGGACCTGATTGGATAATGAGGTTTTCTGGGAGGCTGGAGGAAGTCAGCGGAAAGCTGAAAGCCACCACTGGGGTGCCAGAAAATCTTACTGAAAGCTGCTCACTAAAGATGCTCATGTTTATGCTAGCAAAACTCTTTGGAAGGAAGTACACCCCTACATGGGAATGGGAGAAGGACTGAGGCCAGCAAGGATGCTGAGGGGAAAGCCTTGCCTTGCTAGCTGAGCTGGTGGAACAAGACATAGCAGTTCAGCCAGATAGAGAAATGCCTACCTCTTTTGAAGCAAACCCTATTCCCCAGATCTTTTACTGTGAGGTCATTGTGCCAGTTGACAAAGAGAAATATTTACAGGGTCCTACTCCAAGGCAAAGAAGGGTGGCTTTGGAGCAAGAGGCTGCAGACTGATAACTGGCACAATGGCTATGGATGTATATGCATCTCCAAATGATTAAAGCACTGACTCTTCCCCTTATCTTCAGACTGTACTACATCAGAACAAAACCTGTTTTCCAATTATCCCTTTAAATGAAGCACATTTATACCTATAGCTCCTTTACTTGTTTACTCAAAAGCACACTTCTAGGGTTTTTTAAAATAGGGCCTACTTATATAATTATATACTATTGACTTAGGACAGGGGAGTTCCTACTGAACTTGCTTCAGTTTTAATAAATATAGAATTTGCCTGAATCCTACCCCATATATTGTCCCCACTAAATTGAATCTGAACTCTATTCCATAATCCTCCAAAGTATTGAACTAATGGTCATCATAACTTTTCAAATTGATTTGTATCTAAATAAAAAGTAAGTGATGAAAACCAGTCTTTGGAGTGGGGAAGATCTGTTTAATTTCTAGATCTTTCACTTAGGTTCGTGTCATGCTGACTATATTATTTAATTTTGCTTAGGCACAATTTTTCAATCTATGAAAAGGTTATAAATTTTAATACTGCAGTATGTGAGGGTAAAATATAATTACCTATAAAATACTTATCCTATAAAATAAGTCCTCAATAAATGATAGTTATTATTAGAAAGCACTTCGAGGTTTACTGATTTTCAAATGAATAGAAAGTTTATATTTTCCAAGTTCTACTCTTCCAAAACAAGATTTCAGAAAACAAAAGAGCAAATATAAAAGGATTTCAAGAAGGGGACTCAATTCTTGCTAAAACTAGAAAATTCATTCCAAAAAGGTAATAAAAACAAAGAATTTTTAAAAATGAATAATCAGATCCAGTTTGCATTTCATTAGACTATTATAGACCAAATCTGTTTTATTGTCTCATTTATGTGAAAGATGGTGCGACCACTTATCTACCTGATAAATTGTTCTCTGTGATTTAATAATACTGCAGTTATCTTACTGTATTTCTGTTCCCCTAATTCGAAACAGATTCAGCTTTTGTCCAGATAGCTTCCTGTATGAACAATGCCAGTCAGGAGGCTGGGCTGTACTTGTTAGACTGCTTGGCAATGCTGGGATCTTGGAGACGACAGCATGCTTATGTCACAAGCCACATCTGTCATGACTGGATTTGTGTTTGTCCTCAGATTAATAATAACTGATGGAGGCACCAGGTCGCCTTTCCTTAAAAGCAATGAGTCTGAATACCAGTTTAAGAAGAGGTGCTTCAAAGATCAAAACCAGGCCCATGACAGTGACATGTGAGTTTTTGAATTGGAAATGGCAGTGTCAAATCTCCTAAACAAGGAAATAGCCCCTGTCTAGCAGAAAGAGAATATAGTGTATTACCAGCTCTAATTAGAGAGAGCCAGGTTTTGTAAGGTAACCAAGCTACTTATATAATTATTATAGAGCTTACTTATATAATTATATTTTATTGACTTAGGACAGTATGTAGTATTTATGAAAGTGGTTTTTATATAGTTCTGTGCAGAACTGTAGAAAAATAAAGAGAGAAGAGTCAAGATGTGACTCTGCAGAGACATTCAACTTCAGAGATGGGAGCATAAGTGCACAACTTTCTCCTCAGCTTAAACTTTGAATAGAGCATTTTCTTATGGGCAGGCCATATATTTATTATTTCCAATTTGGGTAACTAGTTAAATAGGAGAAATTCAGGCTTTGTAACTTAATGATGATCACAGCAGTTATGTCTCTTTACAGATTTTAGAGGATTTAGATGATTGTATCTAATATTTACAAATATATATACTAGACATTCATAAATATTAATCCAGTTCATAATCATATATATTAAAACCATGCTAAAACTTTTCCATGATTGCTTATCAGCAGCATACTGATAAAATATTTACCTAGCACCTAATATACTTTTGACAGACAATCCCATTTTATTCTCACAATACCAAGAGGTATAATTATGTGCTTGCCTCAGAGACACTGAATAATTTACAGAACTGTGCCGCTAGAGTGGGTGGCAGGAGTTATTTCAGGTCCATATCTAGCTCATAATCTTTTTATTTCCTTATTATCTCGGAACCTATGACCATCAGGCCTATGTTTTAGCCATCAATCAATAGGGAGCTTGTAGAAAAGTGCCATTCTCTTCATTTGGATGATCATCATTATGCACTATGTGAGGCTGTTGTGAAGTTAAATGAGGTGAAAAGCAAAATACATAACTACATTTTGGTTGAATCAAGTTAAATGTCTTTTTCTATTAGAAGTTTCAATCTACAAACAGACTGTAGTAACTTAATTATTGCTTTTCATTAAGACATAAATAGAATCCAAATTTTCATTATGGTTTAACCTAACGTCTCCCATTTCTCTATCGTCTCTCTTTTTCATAGTTGAAGCCTAGCAGGTATATGCATGGAAATACAATGGGTTACACTTAATAACCCAAAACTTGGTCATTAAAAAACAGTTCTCTCTTACTCAAACTTCCCATTCAATTCTAGATCATTTAAGAGAATGATGATCCAGGTAAGTTCCTTGACTCTTTCTTTTCTGTTATCTAAGTTTCACAAAAGGAAAAGTTGAAAATTAAAACTGACTGAATATGCTGTTAAGATGGAACTTATCCATCCATAACAAAATGCATGGGAAATTTAACGTCTTCTAAAGGACATCATAGTACATAATAAAGAAAACATTTAAAAATGAAATAGCTAAATTTAAATTCAGCACAAAGAATCATGGCTTTAGATTTGTTAGCTCTTCTCAAGAATAGACAAAAGTCTGAAGTATAGACATTTTCTATTTATTCCATCAGCAAATATTTTGTTAAGATTTGAGGGAAGGGAGGGACAGATGAACTAATAAGCACACTTAAGGAAGCGTTAAACAGTTTCTATGTCAGACTCATTTCCTCTGTGGCTGGGAAAACTCAGAATGGGAAGTTTGTTGCAATTTTAGACCTTCATTAAGACTGTACTTAGGGAAAAAACTATCTGGTATAGCAAAAATAAGATGATATAATCTTTCTGATAATTTTATGCCTGTCACTTGAACGCAGTTTACTGAAAACCTGAAGAAATGGACCACAATTTCTAAGAAAAGCAATAATATCTATATTTTAGCTTGTGGTTTATATAACACTGAAATTTGACTTAAAAGTAGAATTAGTAAATTTTATCGCTTTCTGACAAAACAGTGTCACAAGTAAAAAACAAAATATCAATATCTTTTAGTAAATTTCTGCAAATTATGTTCTTTACATAAATCTATTCTTGTCTTACTAAATACTGAATGAACAATTAATAATTATGGTCATACTTTTTGATCTTTAGAGGGACAGTGAAGTGGTATGTATATGTGTTATACTTTTAAAAACCAAAAAACAAATTTAGGATGTGATATATAAATATAACAAAAAACAAGGATAATGACAAGGTAAAAAACTGGCACTATGTTTACCATATACCATGAGGCCTTGTGTGAAGAAAATATGGACCATTAGTTATTACTGAGCTGAGTAGTGACCAAAGCAAAAGATACAAATAATTATTCATTTTTTCATTCAAGAATACACAGTTAATCTGCTGATATATGC